TTCGCGGGTGCCCGAGTCCGTTGCGGCTTCGGTCAATGGAGAAAAAGGAGGGCGCGGTGGGCTCTGCGCGTCGAGGTCGAGGGGGGCGTTGGCCGACATGGCAGCGTCTTTTGGCTGAGCTGGCTGGTTGGAGTCCATCACAGACGAATTCATCGCTTGCTGTGGACACAAGCTCCTTCGCCGGCTTCATACGAGCAAAGTGAGGGTGGTCGGGATGCCACTGCAGCGGGCAACAGCTGGGACTTTTTTTTTGGGTTGACCTGACAGGAGTTGAGAACCACAGCGGTCACAAGGAATGCGCCTACCTATCGAGTTCGATGGCACCGCTATCGTGGAGCCAAATTTTGACGGACGTCTGCCGCTCGCCGTCTGATTGGCTGGAGCATATCCTGGGTGTCCATGGTGGGGCTGCCTGCCTGAAGTCTCCAGCTCTCTGATTGGTTTAGGCCTCGATGCTCCGATAACTGACAACCAGAGCCAGAGGAGGAGCGATGCGAACATCAGATTATCTATTTCTCAGTCTTGTCACTTTTATCGCAAGTCGCAGTCGAGGTCGCAGGTTGCTCTTTACACTTGTGAGCCGTCAATTGATTCAAAAATAGGAGTGAATAAAACCTTCTTATTGTTGTTATCTTCTATGAACCTGGACTATCCGTATCTCGGCATCCTGCTCTACTCGACTGTTGTTATTGTTGCAGCCAAGCAACCTGGTTCCAGTTTTCTTTATGGAGCGACTAATAACATTTGAGCAGAATTCATGACCAGTGATGGCCAGGTCGAAGTCGACATTGAAGAGAGTGCCTTGGCCGTCTTTATGTTTTCTGGCAATGCATGAACGGCAGTTGGCCCAGCTGTGCCTCTCAGTTTCAGTGGTCGGCTGGACCGGCTCGACCAGCACCAAAAACAGAGTGATCACTTCTCCCGCGCCGCCTTCAAGCGTTCTTTTTGTTCTGTTTCGGACCCGGCCAACCGGGTTGGACACCGGCCGTCGGTCGGCACCCATAATGACCAGACTCGCACGGCAGACTTCAGATTTCTATTCCAAGCTCCTTCGAATTTTCTTTATGGGGGGCTCACCGGCCTTGACCCGGACCGTGGGGGAAGAGCCCAGTGGCTTGCTCATCTCATTTGGCTGCTGTGTTCCCGGGAGCCTCCCAACTTCCAACGACATGTTTCCGACCCGGTCTTTCAGGAGGGTCATCACAGGCCGATCATGTGTTTCGACGACTTGTGTGTAGTATTTCCAGTTCCAATATAATGCCGTATATCCCTTCCCTGGCCGCCCTTGCTTCATCAAGGTCTAGACTTACCTCACCTCATCTTGCTTGCTCGCCCGTGATTACGACTGCCTCCCTTGAGAGATATACTCACTGCGATTCTTCAACATGTCTTCAGCAGGGGCCCCTCGTGTGCCAAAGCAAGGGCAACAGCAGGTCGCAAAGGGAAGCGTATCTCGAAAACCAGTTCCTGGGGGTGACGAAGCAGGAGAATCATCAACAGCTCAAGGAGGCCCACGGAGAGCACCTTCACGGCAACAGAGACCTCAACAACAGCAACAGCAATCTATGGTGCCAGCATCCACCGAAGAAGATGGCCGGCTTCCCAGGACGGCGAGGGGGCAAGAAAGTACGGCTGTCAGAGGAAGAAAGCGGTCGGCCGGTCCCAAGAGAGGGATGCCTCGCCAACCTTCGACGCAGGGGAGCAGTCGTCAACCAGCTCCAGGGCGTACTGCTGAGAGTGTGACAGAGGCAAGCTTTTCTTCACGCAGAGAGCCTACCGAAAGTGCACCAGAACGTCCAGCAGCTTTAAGTACCCAACAACGCAAACTCAATCAAGGGCCTCCAGCTTCCGCCAGAAACCAAGTCAGTCCAGATCAAGGTGCACCCAACTTCTCTTTCCCGAAACCAGCGGTGAAAGAAGAACCTCCTCAAGCAGAGATCCAAGCAAATCAAACAGCTAGTCGTCGAGGACCGCCTCGAGGCCCATTACCGTCTGCCCCCGTGGCCGCGGTGCAAGGCCCGTCTCGTCAGGGGCCGCCGATCCCGGCAGAAGCCCTTCCTGTCCCGCGAGGACCGGTGCCCCCGGTCCCAACTTCATCGCGGTCCGGACAAGTTCAATCTTCTCGAGTTGAGCAAGCTGTGCCGGTGGTTCTACGACCGACTCGTCAACAAGCAATGGCCCCGGTGCAATCGTTTGAGCAGGCACAGGCAAGGCGCAATATGCCACAGGAAAGAAACCCAGCCTATCCCCCGCCGCTCCGCACCGCAAACCTCACGCCCAATCCTCCTCCACGGCAAACCTCCGTGTCCGCCGGGGGATTTTCGCAAACCTCTGACCGTTTGGTTTCACCGCAGAGCGCCTTACCTCAGGCCACGTACAATCCCCACGTCTCGGCAGAGACTAGTCGCTCCCGCAATGTTGTTTCTCCCTCAAAACCTCTACCCCCTTCCACTGGCTCGTTCTCTCGAAAGCCGGTCAATTCACCGCCACACCAAATGTTGATGAACCCTCTTCGGTCATCACCACCAAACCCCCCGCCCCCTCCTGCCGACTCAAGCTTGCCGGCCGGCTTCTCTCGCAACAACATTGACATGAACCCCTTGAGGCAATCGCCTCCTAACCCACCCCAGAAGCCAGTCATGTCTTCCAACCTTTCTCAACAAACCATTAACCCCTTGAGGCAATCGCCACCCAACCCTCAAGTAGCAGAAGGCGGCATACCTGTTGGTCTTTTCTCTCAAAACCCATCAGCCCCTCCCCAAAGACCAGCCCTCGCCGCTCCTCCTCAACGAAAAGAAATCGCCCCTCTCAACATCACCAGCTCTTCCCGAAACATCAACAACACCTATCCTGCTGGCCCCTCCCGGTCCGGCATCGTCAGCCCACCAAGAGTAACCTCCCCGCCCCAGGGCGGTTACCTCTCCCGCAACATCACCTCCCCTTCGTCAAACCAAGACGGCGGCCGCTATCCCACCATGCCTCGGGCCGTCGTCTCCCCCCCCTATCAGCCCCGCGCCGTCGGAGGCACTCCCCCCAAGCCAGCCTACAACCAACACTCGCACTCCAGCTCCCTCGACTCAGTCGCCTCCTCCGCAACGGCAACATCCACCCGCCCGTTAAACCCAACCGTCCAACCATCCTCTTCCTTCTCCCCGCCAACAAGAAAAAACACGGACCTGTCCTACTCCAAACCACTGTACAACACCCAGGCCCCACAAACACCTTACATGTCCATCCTGCTGTCTCTGGACAAAATCCCCCGCCTGCACAACATCCTCTCCACCCTTTTTCTTTTTCTTCTTCTAGCCGGCTACGTGATCATCCCGGGGTCGTTCACGGCCCTCTCCCGCCCCCCGTTGGACCCTAAAAGCGCTATACCCATCAACCTAGGCGCAAACACCACCCCGGACAAGAAACTTCTTCTCACCAGGGCGAACACGGCAACGATGGTGGTAGGCTTTGTGTTTATTATCATCGGAACTTTTGGGACGGCGTGGCTGGGGTTGAAGTGGAGGAGGAATTATGTCTGGTTGCTGAACAAGTTGTACTTGCCGCTTGTGATGTACAGCATGGTTGGGCTGGTTGGGACGGTGGTGGGGGTTTATGCTGTGCAGAATGGGGAGTGGTCCACGCAGGCGATCATTGCTGGGATTTTGGAGGCGGTGGAGATGGTGGTTGGGGGGTTGTTGTTTGGGGTTTATAATGTTTGGTTGGTGCAGAGGGTCAGGCAGGAGGGTGGTGGTGGGCAGGGGGGGTATGATAAGCAGGAGAAGGAAAGGGGAAGTAAAAAGAAGGGGAACAGGAGGAGGAAGGGGGGGTTGATGGGACGGTTTAGGGGGTGGAGGGGGAAGAGGAGTATTGCTGTTGGGAGTGTGGTTTGAGTGAGTGATGGGGGTGAAGTGTAAGATGGTGAATAGGGGGGGTATGAGATACAGGGAAAATGGCTTTTGGGGGTTTGGGTTTTGCATTTACATCTGGGATTTGTCATTGTCATTATCGTCATCAAAACAAAAAGAGAGGGATATACCAGTCTATTTTCTGGAAAGGATATTTTTATTATAGTGTGTTGTTAGGATACGTTATTAGATGGATAGCCGGCCAGCATGGAGGGAATAATAGTTTTTATCTCTTGTCACGTTATTTTCATCTGTATTTGCCTTGAGTTTAGTCTACGTGTGCAGATACGAGTCACTGTGCATCCGTGCCTTTCGGCAGATGCTATCTAGTTCAGCTTGCACTGTCCATCAAGTGTACTATCCATGTAAGAGGTAGAATCACAAGGGAGCCAACTGAGCAAGACAAGGCCCGTGCTCCTCTGGTGCCGTAGGCCTAGACTTTTTGCCCCAACGGCGGGAGCTACCCCGTAACCCCGCATGTCAACGCGCACCTTACCCCGGGCCGAGGCCGAACCACCATCGCAGGGCTCCGTGAACCAAACGACATCCGGATGAACCGAGGTTTGTAATCGATATAGGGAATGTATGAATATATGAATTGAGCCTCACTCACCTGTTCAGCGTCTGCTTCTCTGCATCCTTCCTGTTGTTTGTGCAAGTGTTGCTCTCATAACTTTCTCACAATGGCAGACCAACCTCTCATTCTGTATCATTACCCCTTCTCGCCTTATGCGAGAAGACTGATTTGGTATCTCAAGATCAGGGGAATTCCATACTGTCAATGCGTGAGTCGAGTCGGCCTCATTCCATCACATTCTCACCATCCAAACGCTAACATTTTCGCAAAAGCTCCAACCCCCCATCCTCCCCCGCCCCGACCTATCAACCCACCTCTCCCTCAACTACCGCCGCATCCCCCTCCTCGCCCACGGCGGCGACCTCTACCTCGACACCCGCCTCATCCTCAACCTCCTCGACACCCTCTTCCCCCCTCCCCCCCTCACAGCAGACCAAAAAACCATCACCCACCTCCTCTCCACCCTCACAACCGCCACAACCCTCTTCTTCAAAGCCGCCGAGCTCCTCCCCTCCTCCCTCCCCGTGATGAAAGACCCCAAATTCCTGAGAGACCGCGCCACCTTCTCTCCCGCAGCCTTCGCCGCACCCCGCACGAAAGAAGACCGCGCCCTTTCCCGGGCGGAAGCCCTCCTTGAAATCCAATCCTCAGTCCGTTTACTAGAAGAGACCATCCTCAGCGATGGCAGGAACTGGGTCCTCGGCGGGAAGGAGCCCACACGCGCAGATGTGGAAGGGGTGTGGGTCATCCACTGGCTTTTGACCCTTCCCCCTCCTCACAACGACAATGCTCTTGACCCTGCTGTCATAAACAAGACGCGCTACCCGAAGACGATGGCGTGGGTGAATAGGTTTGACCAGTTTATCAATGCGCTGAGTGGGAAGGAAGGGAGGGTCATCAAGGGTGGGGAAGCGGCTGAGCTGATTTTGAAGGGGAAGAGAGGGGGGGATATCGGGGTGGATGAGGCTGATCCGGTGGTCAAGGTTCAGGGACTGAAGAAGGGGGATGTGGTGGAGGTTTTTCCTACTGATACGGGGAGCGCGTTCAAGGATAGGGGGAGGTTAGTGGGGGTGGACGAGAGGGAGGTGGTGTGGGAGAATGAGAAGGGGGTTAGGGTGCATGCGCCGAGGTTGGGGTTTAGGGTTTTGGGGGTGAAGGGACGGCCGAGCTTGTAGAGGGAAAAGAAGGGCGATGACTGCTTTTTAGAGCGTTGTGTTTGATGTTTCAAGTCGGTGCTTTGTGATAGGATGAATCTGTGATATGGGCTTTCTTTCGATCAAAGTGGGCGAGCTTGATGTACAGTTCTGTTGTTGAGAATGCCACGTTTGGAGCAACCTCGGATTTTGAATAACAAAAGCTGGGGTTTAGACATCAAAAGCCAGCAACTTAGATAGTAAAAGCCAAGGCTGTAAGAGACAAATACTGAGATGAGATAAATATAAGCTTAGATAGAATATCCTCCAATATATTCTCTATCCATTTTCATCCACTATAACTTTATAGAGCCTCGTTTTAACAAGAAGCTGAGAACGCATATTGTCAAACCTGGGATTTTAGATTGTGCAAGATGGGATCTTCGACAGTAAGAGCCAGGATCATAAGAAACGGTTGCTAAGATCAAATCTGTATAAAGCTTGGACTAAGTATCTTCATGCTTTGTGAGTGGTTTTATGTAAAATAGTAAATAACCAATGCCGTCATAATACCTAGGTATCTCGTCATTGTCATTGTGTTAATTCTAATAAGCCGTGTTGTAATGATCCTATCTACGACGCAGGATGTGTGCCTAGGCAAAAGTAAGTTGCAGAGGGAAGAGGAAGAGCAAGCATGCAGGCTTGGATCAGTAGTAATGTTGCTGTGGTAGCTGTCATCCAGTTGTTGCCGTTGTTGCCATGGTGAGTGGTGTTGTGGTAGCGTAGGAAGAGCCCGGACCGAGAAACTTCCAGCATGGAGAGCATGGCACACATGGCACACAACATATAGCATAGGGACTTGCTCCACGGGCACGCTCAAAGCATCACTGCAAAAGGTTGCTTCTAGAGCTTTCAAGAGTACCGTGGTGGACAGTTTGGACGGATAACCCTCTCTATGGGCCAGGGCTATAATATGGGGGGTGCACATGAGATAATGGGAGAGAGGTGCATAAATGAAAGTTAATAATGCACATGGAGGAAGTGTCTATATATAAGGGTGCCCATAGAGGATATCCCATAAGAAGCTGGGATTTTGTACAGTAAAAAGCTGGGATTTTGGACAGTGAAGAGCTGGGATATTGGACAATTAAAGCTGGGATTCTAAATAGTGAAAGCTAAGGTTGTGAAATTAGAATGCTGGGACTAGACAAATACATACTCGTGGCTCCATAGACTTCGACTTCAGGACCACCTAGCGTGTTGGGCGTCTCATGGACGAGATCTCGTGATCTCTTGCATGTGCTGGCAATATTGGGCAGCCACAGTGCCTCACCTCCACTAGTTTGTGGACGGCGCTAGCAGTTACTACGAAGTAGCTCGCTCGTTGCTTATGCCTGCGTTGTACTTACTACGACGACGACGACAACCTGTAAATGTAAGAGTAATGTACAATACCATGGAGTGAAGTTGATATTGATATTCAAAGATATCAGATCTTACGTAGGCGGCTCTCTGTACCCCGGATCTTGACAGGGTGACATGGATCGATCATGTCAAGCAAACAAGCTTGTCTTTTGTCGGTCCCCCACGCCCATCGATGGTACCTGACGGAAGTTTTTAACGCCATTCCGAGAATATACCTGTGATCGGCTCGCCATAAAGTTTACTGAAGTACTGTACAACGTCTAGATACGCTTACCAGTCCTTATCAGGCTCTTGTATGACGAGTGTTGGCGCCGCCACAAGTCCGCCAGCCTCACCAGCAAATTCAAGATCTGGTCAATTGAAGGTGAAAACACACTGTCCTCTCCCCACGCCAATATCAAAAAAGGTCATGCGTTGGCAGCGGAAAATAAGGACCAAGGGACGCGCACAGTGAGTGCGCTACTGCACCTCGGGGAGCCGGCCGTTGTCTCCAATGCTGCCTTCACCCACAGGTGCTATGTCAACCGCCAATGGTTTGTTGCCGTGATGGCCTGAAAAAGGTTAGCGATATCATCAGCCGTCCGGGGAATCCCAGGGCTGTCCACAGCTTTTTTCAGGGCCCTGTGGCCCTCCTCTCTGGTGGGAATCTTCCTGGAACGTGTTGAGCGTGGGAAAGGTTGTTCGGAAGGTGGTTAAGCGAAAAGAGGATGGTTGCAGAGCTTGGTCCTGCTGTGTAATGGTGCTTGCTTCTGGCTGCAAGTGCAAGGCCCCGTTCTCGAATTTTCGCTGAAATGTTCTCTTCAGCCATTGGGCGCGTCTTCTGCAAACCTGGTTGTGTGGTTGACTAGTGGAACCCGCCCGTGCCTCTTGACTGCGCGAGCCAGGTGGCGCCTTGTGTTTTCCATTGTGCAGCCGGCTGTCAAGTGCGTCATAGGGGTCAGCTTTGCCGTGGCATGGTGATGTCAGCACGCGACTCTTTCCCTACACATTCCAGCACGAGAAAAGTCATCACTGGGTGAAGAACAATGGAAAGAGTTCGGGTGCGGGCAGTCGCTGAGGGAGACGGAAGGAATTCAAGTGTGAGCACAACGACTCGAAAGAGCAGATGGAAACGGCAAAATGGTGGGAGACGGAGAGACTTGATCCCACAGTGCGGGCAATGGCCGAGTAACATGGCTTGAGACAACATTCCAACCTCAAAGTTACGTCATCGCTGGGAGAAACGGTCGGACACCCACTGGCATCCCTGTCCGTTTCCTTTGTGGTCCGACAACGCAAAAGAGCGTCAGCCAACCGATCCCGTCTGGCACCTGGAGGGGATGTCGATCGTCTTCCGAGATCTCGATGAACTCTCTCTTGCAGCTTCTTCTCGAGGAAGAAGAGATTCAGAAAAGCGAGAGAGAAATGCAAAAACTCGGCGGCCAGGGAATGCTGGCAGCATGCTGGTTGAGCAGTGGGGAAAAAGAACACTGGGGGAATCTTCAATCCCGCCAGATTGCACCGGTCCATAGCGCCTGACGCAATGTTCCTCCATTTGCAGCCCGGCACCAAACCAAAGGGCGGGGACCTTGCCTGATGAGGGGAGAAAGCAAACGCTGGCAGGTTATTCGACAGAAACAACCAATTCGCCACAAATGCCCCACCTCCCTCAATTTGTTCCGACCTTTGAGATGGTTCCATCCATGCCATTCTTTGGATTCTCTGTCACCTCACCGTTGGCGAAGGATTGTATTGATTTGCTGGTTGCTGGTTGCTGTTGCTTCCGTTCTGTTAACCACACACCATCTCCGGCCGTCTTTTCCGGTCAGAAATGACATGGTTATGCCCGCACAGCCGGGTCTCGAACGCTGGAAGCGCTCGGCAGACATGGCCGAATATTTGGATATCTGGTGAAAACTGGTCGTGCCGGGCATCTTCCCCGGCTGCCGGCCAAAGCATCTAGACCTTTGATCGACACCGCAAGGCCTGAAGGAGAAGGATCGATCGAAGAGACCAGTTCATTGGACCAGCATCTCGGGCCTGTCGAGTTCTGCTGTGTTTGACACGACAAGACCGACTGACAAGAATGAGTAGGCGTAAAAGAATCCGAGGTTTGACAAGATCATCGAAAAGAGATATATCCATCCCGGAGATATGGGAAACATGGCAAAAACGGACATTGTCAAAACAAAGGTCTGAGCAGAATGGCAATTTGAAGACTGCTCGCTGGAACGGGCACCTGTTGCGTGCTTTCCTTTCCTCTTCTGCCGGAGGTGCAGTGCCAAGGGTGGAATCCTCACGCGAAGTCAAAGACACGGTCGAGCCGTGCGAGCACAGTGAAGCAGAAGCCCCACCGCTCCACCACGTCCTTTTCTGTGGCCAGGACTTATGCAAGACCAGCTCCAAGCCGTATGATGGTTATCAGCACGAGGTTTGCTCGGTTTTTTGTTACCTGGTATCGAGTGTTAGTGGTATCAAGAGTAATTCGTGATGAGAAAAAAAATCAAAAAGGTACCGGGCACCTCACCGCTGATATTCACGCATGGCTGGATCATAACTGCAAGACATGCGGGTCGTGGGGATGATGGCTAATGTTCCTCGCCTCGGTACGGTCAGCGAGTCGCTCCAAAGACCGGGAGAGGCAAAAGTAGGTAGCACGGTAGCTAGCTTTCCCTTAAAGTGCGGTTCGGTATATTTTTTGAAGGGCATGCAAAGCACGCAAGGTGTGTGTGGGGGGCAGAAAAAGGGGGCAGTCTGGAAGTTGACGTGCGAGAACCTGCTTTGTAATGGATTCCGAGGACTGCCCAGTCTCGTCTCTTTGGTCAGGCTATTCTATTATCGATTATCTCACTGCCTTGGTATTTTCAAAAGCAAAAAGAAAGCGAAGCAACCTGTCACCTCGAAGATATCTGACCTGGAGAAGCAAGACAGTTGCAGTGTCGAAGGCAGTTGGTGGCTGAACTGACAAGAGAGCGGTCCCGCCCGGACAGAGTTTCTTCCTTTCATGGACACGGACCCAGTGGGTGCTGCCCCCGGACCACACATTAGCGACCCCATTATTTTTTATTTCACCTTGCGCCATCTTCCTCCCCCAACGTCATACCTGACGTCGCTCCCCATTCCCGGTCTTGTCCCATTTCTCTTTCCGCATACACACCCACACCCGCACGCAAAGCACCACGTCGCGACACACTACGTAACTATTCTCGAAGCCGACAGCGTCCTGGAGCGCTGCAGAGTAGCGTCGCAGCCCTTTTTTATGGGTTTGAAAGACCAAGTGACCTCATAGTCGTCGCTTTTCCCCTTTGCTCAGTCTTTTTCCGCGAAGGCAAGCACAGCTGCAGCAGCAAGGCGCCGCAAGATTTTGATTGACATCATGGGGTTGTCCACTGGAGCCGCTGGCCGAGGTGAGTCCAAGTCGCCCAAACAGTCCAGCAAGAAAGCATCCCCACCGCGACAAGGTAAGTGGCATCTTTCTGCTGCGTTGTCTTGATGAACGAATGTCGTTGCCGACACTTTTTTTTTTTTGAAAAAAACAGACACGCAATCCGACGCCAAAAATGACGGCCCCTTGAAGTCTGCCACCGCCACCACCACCACCGAACCATCGTCATCATCCAATGCGGAAGCCACCAAGCCGCTCGCGCCTCCGCCCCGTCCCAATCAGCAGCAGAACAATCAACAGCAAGCCGGCAACAACTCGCCCGACTACTTTTCGAACCCCCCCGGCGTCGGCGCGGCTTTGTTGAGCCTCGAGCCGAACCCCTTTGAGCAGTCCTTTGGCGGCGGCGCCCCCGAGACCCCCGGGGGGACTAAGCTTCCATCTGTCGCGGCTCTCACCTCGCCGTCGTCACTCCTTCCCGGCACGGGTGCTACTCCCTTCGGCTGGCCAGGTTCCCTCAGGACGGGCCCTCTCAGTCCGGCCATGTTGTCGGGGCCGACAAATGATTATTTCAGTGATACTCATCACATCCGAGGCGGCTTCCCAACCCCCAACGAGTCTTCTCTGAGGACCGGTCTCACTCCCGGGGGCAGCGGGTCTATGTTCCCGGCCCCAAGTCCCAACACGGCTCTCTTTGCTGGCCTTACTGCCGGCGTGCAAACCCCTAGTACGCTTGACTTCCACCGCACTGCTCTGAGTGTTCAGGCCAAGCGCGAGCCCATCCAGGTCCAACAACCGCCTCCTCCTGCCGTCACCTCTGCGCCCCAAGAAATGAGCAATGGGTCGAGCTTGAAGGCTGAAGTGAAGCCTCCCACAAATTCCTATGATACACACGACAACGACGCGGCGAACGGGTTGTACATGTTGGCCCAGGCACGTAACGGGACACAGCCTCCACCCCCGTCTCAGTACACGGCAGTTCCGCCTGCCCAGGTTCATGTGCATTCCAATCATCAACCTGCTCCCGCTGTCCAACCCATCAACACTTCTCCCCAGATGAATGGCAACTCGTCGATTGGAGGAAGCTCAGCGCGTGGTGTTAGTGAGACTGGCAGCGCCATGTCTGATGAGAGCGAACAGGCGCGTCCCGTGACCCGTGCCAAGGGGAAGAGAGGGTCGACCAGTGCTGCTGGCACTCGCAGAAAGGCCGATGATGGCCCTGCTGCCAAAGGACCGGCCAATAAAAAAGCCAAGACAAACGGTGGTCCTCCACCCTCGCAGCAGCCAGACTATGACGATCACTCTGATGATGAGGATCATCATATCAACAAAGACGGCACCAAGACCAAGATGACAGACGAGGAGAAGAGGAAGAATTTCCTTGAGCGCAACAGGTATGTGCTTGGCTTTTGTCTTGGTTTTGTCTGTTACGGTAACATTAACAGTGTAACACAGGGTTGCTGCACTCAAGTGTCGTCAGCGTAAGAAGCAGTGGCTGGCTAATCTTCAAAGCAAGGTTGAGGAGTTCAGTCAAGAAAACGAGAACCTCACCCACCAGATTAGCGTCCTTCGCGAAGAAGTTGTTAACCTGAAGACGTTGTTGCTTGCGCACAAAGACTGCCCAGTAACACAGTCGCAACATCAACAACAACAGCAACAACAAGGCATCCACGCAGGCTACATCCCACCACCACCACTGGAATACAATCCCCAGATGGCCGCTTACCAAATGGCTGGTGGGATGCCGCCCAGCCAACCGGTGATGGCTGCCCACACCGGTGGTCGCCGTTTCTCATAGAACGATCGAAACGCTGCGAATCCGGAAGCGGCATTGTTGCCAGCCCCGGGCATAGCGACAGCTTCGGCATCGTCACCAGTCCAAGTGTTCACAGCAACATATGGTCTTGGATTTTCCCCTCCTCATGGCCCGCCTGATACGGCATATCTTTCCCCGGCGGGCGGTGATGACTTTGTCGAGGACTTGTCAATTTTGGAGGCAAACGTGGGTGTATAGTGAATAGGCCGCGGGGCTTGTCTCCTGAAATGGGGGCAGCACGCACGGCCGGTATGGTGAGGGACCGGGTGATAGGCACCTCGGTCCCTTGCCCTGTATGTAATCAGCAACAACATGGGTATACATCAAAAGGGCGTTTTGGCGTTTTTCCTTTGGGGTCATTTGCTGTTTATCGATACTTTAGTTTCTTCGCTTTCTTGGTGGGTGGGATTATGAGGGCGTTGGCGGGATAAAAGGCCTGCGCGGCGTGGGCTGAAGGCGATGGGCACCACGGCACGGACATGCCGGTGGCCTGTTGTCCTTTTCTCGTGGTCTTTGCCAGTTTGCGAACAAGGACAAGGAAATTTTTGGATGCCTCGGCCTAAAGCTGGGCAGATGGGCGGATGGTTGACGATGAACGGGTGTACTGGTATGTATGGGGTATTTGTTTTTGTTCATCTTTTCTCTCGCTGGCTGCCCACTCCGTCCTTTAGAGGGGGAGTGGCAGGTTGGTTGCATCTAGCTTCTTATATCAAGATAGTTAGTTATCGCTCATGCCAGGGGACGGATGTCAAATGAGCCATGCGATAGCAATGAGGACATCGGTTAGCATAGCCAAGGGAGCAATAAACCTTCAAGATTATACTTACTCTGTTCGAAGATGATGGCATTCGTGTGTCCAAGGTGGTTTCTGGATTACTCCGTATGCATTGTGATAATCTTGTAACTCGAATCGTCCATCTAAGAGCGTTTGACAAAACCGGTGGAAGTTTTGAAGCGGGTGAAAAAACACTTAGGGCTACCAAAAACACGTATTGTACCCCAAAGGTAAATTCTTGACAATGCCATCACTTACCAGCCGCTGATGTAGCTCACACGATCAGTTTTGACGGCAATAAATTGTGGCCTCGCTGGCGGTGGGGGCATGGAGTTGACGTCGTAGCAAAGGGGGTGGTCCGTGCACTCCGGCAGCCGCAATTCTGAGTGTGGACTGCGGGTAAACAAACCGGCGGGCGCAGCTTCCCGTCGCGATTGACAGCAAAAGCAACCCACTTGGGACGTTGACGACCGGTACGCGACTCCCGATACAGCATCACTATTCTGTAGTGTACTATTTGCACGATATCGTCGCCTCCTCCCGACGACGACGACGACGAAGACGGCAACCGGAGCTCGAAAGCTGGAGCCACCCCTGGTGGATAAAACGCGAAACACACAACTTGGGGGGTGATCGGGTTCGGCCGCCCGCTCAGCGACGTACCTTCGACGCGTTCTTGTCTGACCGCCCGCTTGGCTTTCTGCCCACCCGCCCCAAATCTCGCAAACTATCAATTGAACAAGAGTGGAATTGGTCCTGCCGCCGACGACGACGACGCGCCCAAACCGACACTTTTTTGCCTTGTCGGGATTCTAATTTTGCCCCACGTCGCAAAAACATCACCAACCGACCGAAACCGCAAGGGGAGGAGAAAGAAAAAAGAAATCGACGACTTCACAAAGTTCCCCTCCTCTTCCGTTCAGAACAAGAAGCAAGCCGCCCTTGATGCGCCGCCCGCCCCGCCATCATCGACATCCATGACTACTCTCGTACGGACCCGCCAGCCGCTACAAGTCTTGAGCATGAGCCACCACCAGCCTGAGCGTCGGAAGAGTAAACGCCTCGCGGGTACGTCGTCGCCAGAACCAGAAGAGCCGGAGTTCAAGAGGAGGAAGAGGACTGCTGCGGCTGCCGCGGTTATCAACGAGTCGGCGGCCTTTTCACAACAACAACAACACGCGCCTGCGCCGGCGACGGGGAGGAAAAAGAGAAAGAATGACGCTGACTCCAAGGGTTCCTCCGCAGCAGGAGCCCCGGCAGTGTACGACGAGCAGGATGGCGACTTTTTGTTTACGCGCGGGTCCAAGAGGGTGAAGACTACGCCAGCACCACCACCACCACCACCACCACCACCTGAGCCAGAACCGGAGCCAGAGCCGGAGCCGGAATTGCCATTGCCGAAAATGTCTACCGCGAAGAAGGTTGGAAGACCACCAAAGAATAGTTCGAAAAAGCGCGCTTCCTCTCCGGCGCAACAGTCTGCGCCTCCACCGCCGTTACCAGTACAGCCGCAGCAGCAGGTTTTACCGAGGAGGACGTCGAAAAGGAGGTCTAGTGCAGCTGCTCAGGCGGCGCCTCAACCGGTACAAGATGAGGAGCCGGTTATGCCCAAGGCGAAGACGAGGAGGAAAGGGAGGGAGTCGAATGCCGACAAGAAAGCAAGAGAGGAAGCGCAGCGGAGGCAGTTAATAGAGGGGATTCCGGAGGAGGAGGAAGAGGATAAAGCACAGGACCAGCGACACAACCACCACCGTGATCATGACCACCCTATGACCAACGGCACACCCCAAGCAGAACACCCCTCTGGCGCCGCTTCACAGATGATCTCCCTACCTTTCAGCGACACGCCTATTCAAAACAGGAATAAAGAGTTTCGAAAAAAGGGGGGAGCGTCTGGAGGGAGGAGGAGTTCACTGGGCATGAGAGGGAGGAGGGCGAGCTCGTTGATTGATAATGGGCAGAGCGCGTTACCACATCGGGAGGTTGATCCGAAGGATTTCTACAAGTATATTTCGGCCGAGGGGTTGAGCGAGCCGAGGAGGATGAAGCAGTTGTTGATTTGGTGCGGGGAGAGGGCGCTTAGTGAGAAGCCTAGGGGGGGGAAGGGGAATAGTGCTGTTTTGGGAGGTGAGTTTTCTTTCTTTGGAAATATGTATGGAATTGGGGATGCTAATGTGGAATTATAGCGAGAGCGATACAAGACCAGATCTTGAAGGACTTTTCCTCAGTGTCGGAGTTTTCAGATTGGTTCTCACGGGAAGAAGCGCCGAAGCAGCCGGTGGTGTTGAAGCCGAACCCGAGGAATGAGGATTATGACAGGAAGATTGAGGAGATGGAGGAGAGGATAAAAAGGTTTGTTTCCCCCCCACCCCCTCATTTCCGTTATCCCCAAGAGAAGACTAACTGTGGTGATGTAGATTAAAAGAAGTCAAAAAAGCCTGGCAGGCCATCGCGAAACCATTACCCACACTCGACCCGATATACCCCCTCTCAGCCCCCCCACCAGACAACCCTGACGCTCCCCCGCAACCCGACCCGAGAAAAGCCCCGTTGCCAGACCCCAGTTTGTTGTCGGAGGAAGAAACGAAAATGTTGGCTTTCCTGACTAGTCCGGAGACGAGTTTTGGCAGCTGGAAGAGGCAGGTCAGGTCAAGGCTGCAGAATGTGCATCAGGAGCTCGAGTTTGAGGTTGATGTGCTGGCGGACAGGGTTCACAAGTTTGACATGAGAGTTGAGACTGCGGGGCGGGAGGCGGATCAGGTTTTGAGGTTGGGGGCGGAGAGGTTGAGGGAACGGGAGGAGAGGGAGAAGGAAAGGGTGGGGACACGGGGGGTGGGGGTTTGGGAGGTGCTGAGGAGTTTGGGGAGGATATTGCCTGAGGGGGGGTAGGTTCCTTTTGAGGATGTCCGAGTCAAACGGGAGGAGGAGGAGGAGGAGGAGGAGGGGGAAGAACGATAATGACTTGTTCTTTTATTTAAAACTGGGTTTTTTTTTTGAGGGGAGAAGGAAGGGGGTTACTTGGGCGTTTCTGGTGGGGGGGCCAAACTAAGGGGGGGTCTGTTTTATTGTTCTCTGAGAGATATCCCGCTGCTTTTTTGTTGTTTTTTAAGCTAGGTGGTGTTGGTTGGTGTTACTTGACCCTTTTTCGCATTGCGTGTTTCGGGGAAAGGGGTGGGGGGGAAGGGAAATAAGCATGTCAATTTACCTTTGCATATGGGGGGGAAAGTGGTTGTGGTGTTTTGTGGGGTGATGTTTAAATTTAAGAAGAGAGAGAGAGAGGAAAGAGTTGAGCTGGTTTTGGACGTGTCTGCGTTATGTGAGGTATATATACTGTTTGGTGAACCCAGCCAGCCTATCTACCGTCTGGATATGTCGATAAAACTGAGCTGGATATGTCAAATGCCCCTGAAATTATCCATGGCAACGTCAGTCAATTGGGATGAACTGTCGGGTCAGGGTTGGTTCTCTTTGGAGCCTGCTGCAGTTCTTGATGCCCCTTTTGCGCTGCTAGCTGACTGACTGACGTCTTCCCACCTTGATGGTATACCATGTCCTCCATTTTTAAATGCACGTTCTTTTTCGTAGAGAAGGTTGGGGGTATGTGTAGACCATATCTTAGAGCTCAAACGCAACCAACCGATTATACCACTGCCGTTTTCGGGAGTGGTACCCATTCCTGCATATCCAGACGTGATCTTACAACCCATACTGTTACATTTTATCCTCCTTCTTTATTTCGGTTTGTTTTACACCCAAACAGGGGGCCCCTCACCCCCCACCCCCCCCCGTCTCCCCAAGATTGGACGTACGCCTTTGAGCTGGACTGATCGAGGGGAGGGATAAACGGCATCCCCTTCGTCTCCACCTCGTTATGCCTGTGCCCCTCCTCCCCATGATGCCCCAGCTCCTCCTTCACCTGCTCCGATTGATCACCCCTCCTAACCCGGACATGCTCCCTCAACAAAGCCAGAATCTCACTCCCCTCCCACCTCTTGGGCACAGGCCGGTACGCGGGCTTGAACGTCCCCACCGTCTGCGCCCACTCCCCGGGTCGGGGGGACTCGTGCACTGCTCTGTCCTCCAAGGGGGGGGTTTGGCCGGAGGGAAGGGAGACGTTGGGCTGGGTGGCCCAGTAGTAAATGTCCCAGTCGTTTTCGTCGAGGAAGCGGTCGTATTCGGAGAGTTGGGCGGGGGTCATCTTGGGGAGGTGGGAGGCGGCGAAGGTGGAGAGGAGGAGGTCGGATTCGAGGGTGCCGCGTTTGCGGGATTGGTCTGGTGATTGTTAGAGAAAGGTGAAGGGGGAGGAGGGGATGGGGGGATGGGGGGGATGGGGGGATGACGAACAGAGAAGACGGGCGCGCATGACGTCTGGCTCTTCGCCTACTCTACGCAAAGGCTCAATCTTGAACTTTGCGCCCTGGAGCTCGCCGACATCGAGTTCGTGGTTTGGGAGGGAGCCCGGGTCGGGGGAGGACTTGGACGAGCTGAAGGGGCGGGCGGTTCTGAGGACTGAAGTGGTGGGACGGATGGCGGCGCGGAGGGCGCGGGTTGCTGGACGGAGGGAGGCCATCGTGATGTGGGGGGTTGCTGTTAACAATTGAATGTCGACGAGAGGGTGATTTTTGCTGAAATATCAAAAGTCAAAGAGGCAACAATGACGACGGCAAAAAAGACCGTTGTAGACCGGACCCGGACCGACCAAAAGTTAGCTTGGCGGGTGATCGACTGCCGAGGCCGAAAGCTGCTGTGTCATCAAGCTCCGTCCCGTCTGCCGGGTCTTGCCGGTCTATGTTTACCTTGTTTGTATTATTTTATTCTTTTTACAACACTTTTGTTTGGGATCAGAAAAGACATCAATCATACACACACATTGATACTGTACATTCAATGCATCAATTTTCCCTGCCCCCCCCCTCTTCCCCCCCCAAAAAAAATATCCCGCCTTGAGATCCATATACACTAGGTACGATATGTCATAATTCCGTGCTCGCCCGCGCCGCCTTGTTCAATAATAAGTAGTAGTAGTTTAAACTCCTTAGTTTCTCCATGTAAAAAGCCAACGAGTCCAGCAGCCCGGCCCCAATCCCCGGTAGTTCATTAAATAAGATGCTTCGACCTGCACACCATAGTGTTAGCGATTGCTTCCAAATTAAGCAAAATTCAGGGGAGACACACCTGAAGTACGCCCGCAGGTACATGATTTGCCAGGCCCACAACCCAACCAGCAAGAATGTTGTGAGGAAACCAAACCACTTCACACGGTTGTTGGTGCTCTCGTTGGTGTCTCTGAGCTTCTGCTCGCGGTGGCGGAGGTAGTCCATCTCGCTGACAATCTCGCCCACCATCTCCTCGATTCTGCGCAGCTCGGTTTCTACGGGCTTCAGCTTCTCGCTGGCCTGGACGGCAGCCCAGTCCTTGGCGTCGGCACCAATGTCAATGTCGAGCTCGACGTGACGGTTGGGGTTCTGGACGTATTTGTCTGTTGGTCAAGAGTTAGCGGGGTCCCTGAGGACCAGAGGTTGGTTGACGCACTCCCTGTGAGGATGTTCTCAAAGCACACGTCGAAAGCAGCGTCGGCGTGGGAGGTGAAAACGGTGCGTTGCTCGCCAGCAATGTCCTTGGGCTTGCCGTACTCGTTCCCTGCCGCGTCCATAATGTGCATGTTCAGTTGCATGCCATCGCCCTTGTATCCATCCACAATAGCCGTAACCACCACCAACATGTCCTTGGCGACAAAGTTCCGAATGCATCTCCTCGAAAGACTGTCGTGTCCGCTGCCCGCCTGGATGTCGAACTTCAGGGCCTCGGTGCCCACTGCCAGCAGGAGCAGCGCGCTGCAGACATTCTGCAGCACCGACCGTGCGTGAACCATTGTCTGTGTGTCTGAGTATATCGAGTGAGCTGTTGTCGGCAAGGAGGGAGATGAAGATGTTGGCGTCGTCGGTGGTGAGTTCAAGTCAATACAGCTGGCACAACGGGGGGGCGCTGCACGTTCCACCGGAGCTTCGATAAAATGGCAATCTGTCGCCTTCCCCCTTGGAGCCCAGAGCAAGGGTACCGTGGCCATGCAGCCAATCAGAAGCCCAGTCTCCAGAGAAAAAGCTTTTGTGGATCAGCCTTGCTTGGCCTCCACTCGGGCTTGCGCCCAACCCCTGCTCACAGTCCGCGTCCAGATTTCTCAGCCTCGCGAAACTGGAACTGTTTCCTTGAACATCCACTGCACCGCGACCATCAACCACTACACCACCATCGATTTCCACCCACAACCACGAGCGCAAAGCAGCTTTCCGATCAACCTCTCCTTTTTTGATCAAAACTACATCCGAAATCATCGGCGCATAGCCACAACACCGGCAAAATGCCAAAATGTACGTTTACCGTGGGCAAACATCGAGACGCTGCTAACACACTCTCCAGTCTTTTGCGATTATTGCGATGTCTACCTCACGCACGACTCCATGAGCGTGCGCAAGGCCCACAACAGCGGTCGCAACCATCTCCGCAACGTTGTCGATTACTACCAACGTAAGTCTCTCTGTTGCCTGCTCTGCCGCCGTTCTTGGCTAACCGCTCCTCACAGAAATCGGTCACGAAAAGGCCCAGTCCGTCATCGACTCCATCACCAACTCCTACGCCGCCGAAGGCCAAGCCCACGCCAACCCCATGCTGCCACAAAATCAACCCGGCGGATTCGGCTCCAACCCCTTCCCTCCTCCCGGCGCAGGCTTCCCAGGCATGCCACCCCCAGGCTTCCCCGGTGCCTTCCCCGGTGCACCAGGCGCTCCTCCGTTCCCACCTCCGTTCCCTGGCGCCCCAGGTGGTGCCAACGCCCCTCCATTTCCGCCGCCATTCCCCTTCCCAGGTGCGCCAAATTCAGCTTCCCCTGCCGGCGGGGCACCTCCTTTCCCGCTTCCACCTTTCCCACCTGGAGGAGCTGGTGCTGCTTTCCCGCCTCCTCCTGGTGGCGGCATGCCACCTTTCCCACCACCAAACGGAGCGGTGCCCCCTCCAGGGGCTTTCCCTCCACCGGGTGGTATGCCATTCCCACCGCCGGGAGGGCAGTTCCCGCCTTTCCCTCCTCCAGGAGCGGGTGGGTTCCCGGGTGGTGGTAGACAGTAGAGTGTGGAAATGAAATGTAGGTAGTGTCACAGAGCGGTAAAATGAGATATGGATCAGCGAAAGGCACTCATAAGTCTCCCTAACTTGCGAGCATGCGTGTAACATCAGCGGAAACGATCAGTTATAAGCAAGTGGCTTGAAGAGAAGATACCAAGGAAGCGCACGATATGAATATCAATGGATTACACCGTCAAGATATCGAGTTTATGCGTTTAAGCATCCAGGCAACGGCATTAAAAGAAGGCATTGCTGTGGATAACGAAGGCTACAATGGACCGCAGAGTAGTGACCTGAGAAGATCAGTAAAGGGATGCTAAAGCAGAGAGGTTTGGAGAGATGGAGAGAAGCGTTGAAAAGATACCCAGAGGTCTCAAAGAGAGAGATGTTGAAGTAGGGAAGATAGGAAGCAGAGGCAGTGAAGAGAGAAGACCCAAAGCGGAGACAAATGCAACCTGCACTTAAGAATATCTAGTCATCCTCAGGCGTTTTTTGCTCGACCATTTGATCCAAGCTTATAGTGGACTTAATATGAGCTAAATCTGAGCGTTGGGTGTCTGATTTATGGACTTAATCTAAGCTTGGTACGTCTTATCTCTGGACTTGATCGAAGCCTTATCTAAGCTGTGTATGTCTTATTACTAGACTGGTTCCAAGTTTCAAATCTCTTGTTTTCCCGCTTAATCCAAGCTTTATATATCTTCCTTTTGACTTAACCTGAGCCTCGTATCATATGTTGGAGTTTATCTAGGTAGATTTGGTATATTTTATTTCTAGACTTGCCTAAGTTTTAGCATGTTACTTTGAACTTGATCCAAACTTTGTGTGTCATATATCTAGACTTGATCTGAGCCTTGCATTTTCATTTTGAAGTTAATCTAGGACTGTAAATGTTGTTTTTAGACATGATAGCTGTAGCTCTTATACATTTTTACCGGGTATTATTGTAGATATGATGCTGCCACACGTGGTGGATGTCAGAGCTAGGAGATATGCGGGTGGGTGTGGTGAGACATGGGGGAGTAGCTATGTGGGTGGGGAGTTATGTGGGGAGTGAGACTATTGTGGTAGAGGGAGATGCGGTGGGTCATTATGTAGAAAAATCATGTAGTGGTGAGCAGTGTTGCGAGCCGTCATGGTTCAACCGCATGACCCATCACCACACATAGCTTGCTTCTTCGAAGGTAGCCAGCAAAATCTTCTGTTAAGTAATACATTTTAGGAAGCCTGGGGATGACTATATATCTTGGAACAAGACGCGCAACAAGCATGGGTGACTAAACGTTGAAGAGTGTGTATAGTGAAGTTGCCGTTTATAGCTGGGATCTGTTTAGTGTGTGTTGATATACCTGGGTAAGCAGGTAGGCAAGGTGGATGGGAATTCCTCTACTACAATGTTGACATAAGGCATGTAGCTTTGACTGTAGATATCAATTACCAGATGTCGATAGAGGTAGCTTGGACTCTATCCTATTGTTTAAACTATATTGCTCAGTTTGTAGCCTCATACAGCTCAGATTATAGCCTCATACAGCTCATATTATAAACTCATGGCGATAGCTTCACTCTCAGTAATCTAGGTAAGGCCCTCGGCTCAAGAGATTTACCTTGACGATACTTCAGCAAATGTTGATGGCCTTTCAATAATGAGAATAAAACTACCTGCAGCCCGAATTTACAGCTCTTTTTTATCCAAGGTAAATAAGCCTTTTATTCTAAAAGTATTCCAAGCTTTCTTCTTTCAACCTGAGCTTGCTATGACCCAAACTTGTCTTTAGAATGCTCAGATCATACGCAGACAAAGCCAGGAATAAAATATCATAGCTCAGACTATACACAGAAAAGGCTAGGATTATAGACACAGTCTGAGCTTTCCGTGTTTGTAATCCTAGCCTTTTCCGAGCTTCTGGTGTCTATAACCCCATTTCTAAATAAGTTAAAGGTAGGTGAAGTAATGAGTGAACCGGGATGGGTGTACGGACCAACCCATGCAGAGCTGAGGCGGCTATTATGTGCACGGCAAGCCATTGGCACATCGTCTCTTGCAGCTCGATATCACATTCTTACGTCCAGGAATCCACCGTCCTTCCTGTGGAGATGTGATCATGATGCCTCATACCCGCCAATGCTAGGCTGCTACTGCTGAGCTAGAAGGCAAGCTGATTGCTTGCATGCATTAGCTCTCCTCGTCTGAATACTATACGCAATACACGCGAGGATGAGCGCTTTTACCGGACGACCAGCTCGACAAGCGCAAGCGAGCAGATCCACCAAGCCAGACATCGGATAGAGGTGTCCAAGAAGTCGGCAGTCGGCTTCCATGGCCTTCCCCAAGAAGCGATGCGCCGTTGTGGCGGCGTTGTCGATGGTGGAATTGTCCGAGAGAACCCAGAGCCATAGAATCAACGGCTTCCAGCATGCTTCTTGATGGTCCAGCCCGATCTTGAACTGCACCTTCAGCTCAGCACTTTACCCGGCATGTGAACTGTGAGAAGCCAGATTATCGGCCCAATCCGCGGCCGCCTCTCTCCACAAGATGACAGCCACCTACTGCAAAGATTGTCCCCGTGCTTGCAGGCTGCAGCGAGATGCATACAGAGGGAATATCAAGATGGTGATTTGCCTTGACATCAGCGCCAATGCTTCGTGGGGTAGGACTCGGAGGTAAATCCTGCGATGGAAGGCCAGCCTCTCGCTCCAACGGTTGGTTCTCGAAAGGGGCAGCCACTCACAAAATGTCCTGAGAGTTGATGATGAGATGCTCGCCCGCATCATGCACCGCGCAGGTTTGCGGGTAGCGACAGTGTCGATTATTGGCTGACTCTGCCGTCGTCCGCATGAGCTGTGTGTGATCTGGAAATGTAACACCTGATTGGTCAATGACGACCAGGATTTAGACGCCGGACTATTCCTAAAGCTGTCTAGCGTGGGTGATTGACAAGTGCGGGGCATTTCCTGTCTCTCATGTTCTCTGTCTCTCTTGTGAGTTTCCCAAAAAAGATTCCCATCACCACCGACAACGTCCCGCTGGTGTTAGCCGCCCACAGTGCAGTAGCACTCTGCGAGCTGGGTGATATCGACTGTGAACACAGCAGCAGGCATGGCCCTGCCTCTATCCGCCAATCCTCTCTCTCATTGGCTTCGGCCCTCCATCACCACCTCGGCCGGCAATCTGTAGTGCTCGCTGAGGGCCATGCGCCCCATGCTGTGGTCTCTCAAACTGGGCCGATGGCTTCTTGTCCCGCCCATCCTCCCTTGGTTGTGCCTCTCTCGTCCAACTCGGCGCCAGATGATATAAGGCTCTGGCCTCACCCTCTTTTCCTGTCCTTCTTCTCTTCTTCAGCAAGCCCTCAAAAACAATAAACCGGTTTTTGTTTTTTCCCCTCCTCCCCCTTTCTTTACCCTCCCCCTCTACACGGAGCTGTGCTCTGTTAATTCAACTAATACACAAAAAAATCAAAATATTGTAGCTTTGCTGGTCCTAGCTACTTCCTAATCGCCACCTCCGAATACCCTCAAAAACAACTACTGGTTTACTTGCTCGCCTCGCCCTACAGCGCGAAGCTATTTTCTCTCGGGACGGTTTAATTATCAGCATCTCGTGTTTATTTCAGCCTCACATTCAAAATGTCCGCCATTCAGCTTTCATTCAACCTCCGTGTTTCCTCCGGTGTCAAGACCGTCCATCTCCTCGGCTCCTGGGACAACTACTCCGGCCAACTCCCGCTCTCCAAGGACAAGACTTCCTCCAAGTCCGGCACATGGAAGGGTACCTTCCGCTTCCAGCCCACCACACTTCAAGTCGGCCAAAGATACTGGTACTACTACATGATCGATGGGTACCACGTCTCGCACAACCCCTCCGAGGAGTCCACCGTTGAGCCCACCACCGGCCGTGCCCTCAACATCCTTGACGTCCCCAAGTCTTCCTCCAAGTCTTCCTCTTCCAGCAAGTCCTCTTCCCGCAAGTCTTCCTCGCGCCACTCCGTCAGCTCCGACATCCCCAAGGGTCGCCCTCTCTCCATGTCCCAGATCAAGGCCCCCAAGCCCGTAGCTCCCCACGCTACCCGCCACATCTTGGACGGCGACTTTGACGAGGATGAGCTCTCCAGCCACTTTGCTGCCACCGGCATCTACGACTACGACGCCGAGGACATCATCACCGACTTTGGCGCTTCCGTCTCTCCCGTCTCCTCTGTCGGCTCCTCGCTCTCGTACCGCTCCGACAACTCCTCGTCGTCGTCCGGCTACAGCACCCCATCCTCAGACTGCTCCTCGTGCACCTGCGAGCGCTACGGCATCACCCGCAAGGGTGAGCGCGTCCGTCTCGACTGCGGCGGTTCTCGCTGCGGCTACGAGGACTCGTGCTCCTCTTCCGAGGACGAGCAAGAGTACGTTGAGCGCAGCTCCCGCCGCAACGGCATCGTCGTCCGCCGATAAATGCCCGCGCCCAATGTCTAGGGGTAGACTTGCTGCCTTTTTTTTTTACCTCTTTGATGGAAGACAAAGGACTTGCTTGTTGGATGTTGCCTTAATAAGACCTTGGCGTTGATTTCTATCCGCTATGAGGTCGGCACACCTAGCCAGGATCCCTCCACACACCACAAACACGAGGCTTTATTCGCTATCGTTAACATTCGCGTCCCTCACTTTTGAGGACATGATGATTAATGACTAATGAAAAGCTGTACGCTCACTTTGTTTGATGCTGTTTGTTGAAATACACACTCAAGCTCTCACACAACCTGATGCCCTTCCCTCCCAGACCCGGGGTCGCGACTGGTTCGAGATTCTGTGTGTCGATCTGGGAGGAGGGCAGGCCAAGCACCACTTCATTGTGTGATGCTGCCACCCCCTCGAGATATAATATCTCTTGCGTTCCTTACCGCTTCTGTCAACCGTCGGAGCACCAGTTTCTGCTCCTCTCTCCTGGTGGGAGTGAGAGTAGGTTTTGGTCTAGCTCTGGCACAATAATAGCAAGCATAGCTTGTGGGGAAGGATTATTTTCTTGCTTCATCAGGGGATGGATGTGAAGCAATTGGCAATGTAATGGCATTCTGGGATGTGCTGTCCTGGAGCGGGCTATTAACAACTCAATGTTTGAGACCTTCATTGTGTATTCTTAGGGCAGTTTCAGATATCTCTCTCTCTTTGAGAGATTGGGCATGGAATAAACCTGCCTCCCGGGTTTTAGCATAGCACAAGACAAGATAGCGGGTTGGATGACTGTTGAATTCAGCTTGTTTCACTTGATGAACATACCTTATATTTGCTTTATGTGCATATATATGGACTCTATCCCTTTGCTCAATATGCATCCCTATATGCTACTACTAGAGTTGGCACTATCAATTATGAGTTTATCGATTAGTCCTTATCAGTTGTGATTGTGATCTTATCGATTGTGATCTTATCGATTGTGACACATGGAACCCACGCGAAGGCACATACACATGGATAAGGCATGGGCACCAATATGGAGGCGGCACGCACACGTTCGCAAGGCGTGGGAATACACGTGGAGAAGGCGTGAACACTGGAGGCGGCATATGCTCACGGAGAGGGCATGCACACATGGAGACGGCATGGCCACACACATGGACAGGGCATGGCCTCACACACATGAAGAGGACATGGCACACACATAAAGAAGGCACGGACACGCACATGGAGAGGGCATGGGCACACACATGGGGACGGCATACACACGTGGAGAAGGCCCATACATGAAGAAAGCATGGGCGCAAACATAAAGGCAGCATACACACATGGGGGGTTGATATAACTGGAGGGGCCACACGCACATGGAGGAGGCACGCACACGGGGCAAGGCACACCCACACAGGGGAGGCTCACCCACATGGAGGAGGGCTCACGCTCAACAACATGCCAAAAGAACTCCACAATATCAAATTCAACGCGATATGAACGCCAAAATCAACGCTATTTCCACCGTTCCCAGTTCACCTCTGATAGCAAGCCTTTATAGGCCAGCCACATATCAAATCAACGCGCCAAAAAAAGAGCACACACCACCCATAACCACCCCCACACATCCCCCTAAATCATGGCGTTGGCCACCTCCCCATTCACCTCCCCCTTTGCCGCCTCCGCGGGAGCTTTCTTGGTGAGGCTCGCGAGAGCCTCCGGGGTGCCGTCGAGGGGCGCGTGCCGGCCACGGATGTGTCGGAGGTGGCCCTCGCGAGCCACCTGGCTGCCCGCGTTTACACGCGGGAAGGGCACCGTCGCCGGGCCGAGGAGAGGGGCGTGCCGGCCCCGGATGTGTTGTTGGTGGCTCTTGCGAGCCACGCTCTTGCCGACGTCGCCGCCGGGAATCGTCACCGCATCGCCGGCATTCCCTCCCCCGTTCTCTCTGGCCACCTGCCCGACCCCCTCACGCTTTGTTCCCTCGCTGCCCATGATGGCGAGGGCCCCGGCCGTTTCGTTCGACGAGGGGGAGAGAGGCTTGTGGGTTGGTTGAACTGCAGGGAATTGGTGTCAAATTACACGCCCGTTGACTGCCATTTGGAGGGGGATTTGACGCTGGTTTTGAGGGCAAATTGAAGGGGATGTGAAGCCAATTGAAGGGGAATTGGAGCCGGCGTTCAGGAGACACTGGGGCCCGCCGGGGAGAGGGGAACAATGGTGATGGAAGGGCGCATACCTCTTTGAGGAGAGCGGCGTGGTTCTGTGGCTCTGGTGCGCCACGACGTGCCAGGAATTGCCAGCGAGTGAGAGGGAGAGAGAGACCGGGGCACAGTGGAGAGCGTACAGGGAGGGGGGAACGACGGCAATGGGGCACACCTGATAGAGGAGAAGCCGGGGGGTGCGTGTGTGAAAGAATGTGTGTGTGAAGGAGTGTGTGTGTGAAGGAGTGTGTGTGTGAAGGAGTGTGTGTGTGAAGGAGTGTGTGTGTGAAGGAGTGTGTGTGTGAAGGAGTGTGTGTGTGAAGGAGTGTGTGGATGTGTGGGGAGAGGGAGAGAGTGTGTGTGTGTGTGAGGAAGAGGAAGAGAGAGAGGAAGAGGGAGAGGAAGAGGGAGAGGAAGAGGGCACGCCCACTGCATTTCCCAACCGTACCGCCTCACTGGACCGCACCCCGCGGGTGACCTCGTCGCCGTCAATTCCATCCGGTCTCTCTGCCCCAGGCACCGGCCGTCACTCGCCCCTAAATGGCTGCATGTTAGCCCTCCGGCCCGGTGAAGGCCGCCAAATATCGCACAAAACGTTTTTTCGGTTTAAATACATCAGACGCCTCGCTTTGTGCAACCTCATCCCATAAAACTTCGCCAATAACGGCTGGTGTTGAGGTTTTCAGGCTTCACGATGACGAAGTGCGGGGGTTTATGGGCCGTTTTCGCACAATGCCGCCATTGCAGGCCACCTGCCAATGGCTGGCAGGTTTGATTGCGATTGGCAAGGGCCTGAAAAGTGTGCTGGGGGCGGCAGGAGGGCTGTGGGAAGAGGTGCAATTGAACACGGCGAGGATGGCAAAAATGGCAAAAATGGCAAATATGATGAACATGGCAAGCATGGCAGCCATGGTGAACACGGTGAACACGGTGAACACGATGAGTATGGTGAGCATGGTGAGCATGATGAACACGATGAGTATGGTGAGCATGGTGAGCATGGTGAGCATGGTGAGCATGGTGAGCATGGTGAGCATGAAGCATGGAGATCATGGAGAGCGTGGAGAGTATGGAGAGTATGGAGAGTATGGAGAGTATGGAGAGTATGGAGAGTATGGCCAACATGGCGAGCAAGGCAATTATAGTGAATATGGCAAATATGGGAGGTATGGTAAGCATGGCAAGTATGGAAGCATGGCAAATCTGGTAAATATGGTGAGTATGGGAGGTATGGGAGGTAGGCAAGCATGGCAGGCATGGCGAACATGGCGGACATGACAAGCATGCAAGCATGGCGAATATGGCGAACATGACGAACATGGCAGGCCTGGCAGATATGTCATCCTCTCTTTTGGCGGCGGCGAATGTGGTGATAGCTTCACTTTCGATGGCAGCGACAGTGGCGATTTTTAGCTTGCGACAGTAAATGTGATGATCACCTCACTTTTGGCGGCAGCGAGTGTAATGACAACCTCACTTTCGGCAGCGACGAGGGTATTGATTTTTAACTTATAACAGTTGATGGAATAATAGACTCACTTTTGGTAATAGTGAGTATAGCGATGGATTCAGTTTCCGCGACGGTGAGTTTGGAGATGAGTTTATGCTTCTTGCTGTCTCTTTAGTCGTATATGCATTTTAAGAATACTCTTTAGATGCATATGCATTAAGATGATTTTTTTCTCGCGGCCGCAAGTGCGGGAAATAGCTTCACTTTTGGCGGCGGCGAGTATCATGAAATCCTCATTTTTGGCGGCGGTAAGTGTGGTGATAGGTTTTTTCCCCACTAAATATGTTGATGTTTCCACGTTTGGCAGCAGCGATTATGGAGATAGCCTTATTCTTGCACGGTAATTAAGGCAACAAATGTAAACACAAGAAACTCTACAAATCTTCGTCTAATTCTTTTTTTTTCTATTTTCTTTTAAAAAAAATCATTTTTATATATATTGTCTTTAAATATATTCTCAAAACTTTTATAGAAAAATGTAAGCTATGTTAATGTCCATTTAATAATACTTTAATATAAATTTTTTTTATTTAAATTAATAAGTTTATATAAAGTTAGTTTAATTACTTTTAAAAAAATAAATGAAAACCAAAAAAATTATTAAATTTAAACATTTGTCTAAAAAAAATAGTAAGCCTTGCGCGGCTAGGATCACTCATTTGCAAAGCTTGCGCTTGGCCTACTACTGGATTAAAAAAAAAAGACTTATACTGGAAGTCGAGTTAATAGTGGTTTGGGGTGCGGTCATAGGGCTGAGGATATAAGTGAGGAAGTGGGCTTTCGGAGGATTCGGGGGTTCAGGGGTCATGTATATAAGCAGTCTGCTTCTGACATTCTATTGTAGACAGGACATCGACTTTTATTCCTTCAAATTTTGTGCCTTGCACGCGTGCAGGCAATTCTGGCTCTCTGATCAGGCCAATCCGGTGCTTATTATGAGGCCTGCGGGCCCGCAGTGTCTTTTCTTTGTTCTGCGTGAAGTGCGGCCTGCGAGCGAGTCACTGTCACGCAGGTGTGTTCATTCAGGGACTTGTTGAGGGTATACTGAAATGGTGAGAAAACACACAAACCAACCACAACACCGCAAATATACCCTCAACAGGTCCCTGAAT